GTGGAAATGTAATTTTACAAGATTTGTCTAATAGAATTAGCTAAAGGGAAATGTGTTTCCAACTCAAAGGTGGGAATTCGATCTCTACAACTTCTCTTGAGAGTTTCAGTTATCATCTCTCTCGAGATTTTTTTTCTTAGTTAAGCAAAATCTGTAGTTTATTTTCAACTATATTAACATTTTACTTAGGTTCTTGTATTGTTCTCAAATTTTTTTTCACTAATACAACTTCAGCTGACAAATAAGAAGCATATGTCAATAACATTAAAAATGAGATATAATTTCTTTCATTAGAAGGTAACTTTTGAATATAGAACCATATATAAAACTTAAAAAAATACAAATTTGAAATAATAGTGTTATACAAAATTGATGTCATTTTATTTAGCTGTAAATTTTTTGTTGTGATTTTTCAATGACAATCTAATTGGTAAATATTAATTGTGTGTTATAAAACTCACATATTTATTTACATAGAAAGATACTTTTGACTAGTCTTTTTCAGTTTAAGACACTTCGAACAAGTAAAATCTTGAATTGTCCTCTAAACTTATGTTGGCTAGTAACTTATCTTCTCAACCAGATGTAATCGTCAACTTATTTTTTCAGCCATATATTTTTTATTATTTTAAAACACTTACATATTTTAACATGATCAAAATTTATCTTTTTGTTTTTTACTTCACTGGAATATTTCATCTCCCACACTGACGCAGCGTAAAGATAGGTATGAACGATCGATCTCACGGTTTAGAGTCGCAATAGACAAGTCTTTGCTCAATCAAGAGATTCTTAAGAATATCTTGAGACCAAACTTCTTGTATTGACGAATTTAATCGAGTCAAGGCAAGGTTAAAAGCAAACAACACAATGTTCTACAAAACGCTCAACGTCGCACCGCAAAGAAGGCCAAAAGTATGAGGACGCTACAAGTTGTAGCTAGCGTAGGATCACGCCCACATGACCTTCTTGATGAAGCTCAGTGATAAGTTGAATCCAAAGACTGCACTCTGGAATACAAAGTCGTGTACCCAAAAAAGAAAACCATCATGAATAGTGTACTCGGATGATGCTCTGTCTAACGCAGCCGTGTAAAGTTTTCCACAGAAAGGATCCGTTGGATATAGGTCGACGAAAGAACCAAAACCTGCAACTGAAGTATGCAGAATGGTGAGTAAGGAATGACGCATGCTTAACGCGTCTGCCACTCGATTTGAAGCGCCTGAGGTGTGTTTGATGAAGAATGTGAACTGTTGAAGGTAAGCTATCCATGAGGCATGGCGAGCTGATACCTTGGCTTGGCTGCTCAGATGTTTCAAGGCATCATGATCCGTGTACAAGACAAATATTTGTGAAACAAATAGTGACGCCAATGTTTTATTGCTTGTACGATAGCGTAGAACTCCACATCGTAAGTACTGTAACGCGAACGTGCACCAGCTAACTTCTCGCTAAAAAAGGCAATAGAGCGACCTTTCTGGCTCAGAACAACCCCAATACATGCCTTTGATGCATCGCAGTGAAGTTCAAAGATTAGAGTGAAATCAAGCAGAGCAAAAATTGAGGCATAACAAAGCTTCTCCTTGATAAGAACAAACACCTGCTCTGCCTTCTATGTCGAAGAAAAATGGTTATTGCGAATTGTATCAGTTAAAGGGGCCATAAGGCTGCTGAACTGTGGGACAAAACGACGATAAAACAAAGCAAGACCGTAAAATATACGTACTTCTGTAATAGTACAAGTTGTAGGCCAGGATGCGATTGCTGAAACCTTTGCAGGGTCGACGGCATGTCCCTTGTCGAACCAAAATCACACTTCTTGAGTGTTCCGAATAGCTTATCTCGGTAGAGAGCCGCGAACCTCAGTAAGATGACGGAGGTGACCAGACAAGGAAGCACTAAAGATAAGGATATCATCAAAATAGACGACCACAAACTTACTAATAAAAAGGCGGAGTGCTTGGTTCATCACACACATAAACGTGTTGGGCGCATTAGATAACCCAAACGGCATTGCAAGCCATTTAAAAACGTTTTAATAACGCACAAATCTCATATCCCCTATATATTAAAGGAGAAACATCGTCATTTAATGTGTTCAAATTACGTTTGTCACGTGGCAGTTTCACAGCAATTCGCGACTAAACTCTACATAAATGCGTTCACACTATATATTATTTTACATTTTGTAATATAAAACTTACATACATGATTCTACGAGTTATACACAAATTCTATATAGAATGACAATTTACAGAAAAAATCACTATTGTCTAGACATATTTAATTTTACTTAATTTATTTTAATAGAATATTAAATTTCATGTGTTATTTTGAACAATCTTTTTTAATGTTAATTGTGATATATTTATAATTTAACCAACCACTTTTATATATCTTTTACATACACATACATCTAAGAGTATGCACAAATCGGATATCCGAGGCTTTTGGAGGTATCGTGATCCAATATGTTTCGTCCGAATAATCAATTATTCGATTTGATTTGATTAATAGCCATCCAAATATACAGTGTCCCGGAATGTTTTTTTTTAACCGGTTTCAATCTTAAAAATAAATAAGAAATTTTTAAAAAATCTAAAATAATCAAATTTTTGTTACAAAAATAAAAAAAAAAATTTAATTTTTTGAATGTTAATACCTAATTTAATAAACTTAGTAAATATAAATATGATAGAACTTATATAGAATTTATTATTTGTAGAACTTATCTATTTACTTCATTATATATATATATTAACATAGAAAGGATCAGATCAGATGTTTTTCTTTTTTTGAATATTAGTATTCATGATTTGCTTTGTTTACGGATATTGCATATTAGTATTTGCTTTTCTTCGTAGAGTTACAAATCTTCAGATTTTTTTTGTTTGAATAGAAAAATGATGACAAATCAAATTAAAATTACGAATATTTTTCTGAGTCCACATACATGTAGACATTGACGTGAGGACCTACATAACTAAATATTCACGATAAGTGAAAGAATTTAATTCTATTGGAAGCTGAAATATTCTTTTTTAAATGTTTCCATTCACCATCAATTCAATTGTAATGAAATGATTTGTACTTATAATTTCTTTTTCTTTTTCTTCAATTATTAACTTGATTTGATTGTTCACGCCTTTAGTTATAATATGAAACCATTGGTTTAAAATTAGAACTGTCTAAAATTCATATGACATGAAACCAAAAAAATAAGAACAGTTTTTGGTTATCATTAAAATCTGAAAACCTCCAGCATTTTAATCGAATAAACATAATACATATTGATTGAGAATAGTAATTACATTTTAATAGATTAAAAAACCAAAAAACTAACATAAAACCTAATTGTTATCCATATTAAACATACATAATATCTTCTTATCTTAAGAAATAACGAAATTAATATTCTCATTGCAAGGAGCATGTTATTACCTAGTAAAACATTATTTCAACTTCATTTTCGATAGAACTTAACTCCAAATAGATGAGTCTAATTAAATTTTTGTTAAGTCAAATCAAATAAACTAATTAAATTGGGGGGAGGGGGGAAGATTATTACCTTAATTATTGATTTTAATACTTTTTAATAAATGGCGAAGTTAAAATTTTAAAAACAATTTTAAATTTTCACTTTTATAATTTCAAATACTATTTTCATGCATGATACATAAATAAATGGGATAATTTGTAAACTACTCCACTAACAGTTTGAAATTTAAAAATTACACCCTCTATTTTTTTTTTTTGAAAAATACACTTTCTTAACTGTGAATTGCCTTTTTTACCCAGATTAGATATTTCAATAGTCGAGACATAATTATTTATGTTTAATATAAATTAATGTGTTGAAATAAATATGTTATTTTACCATTTAAGTTTTTACAAAAACAAAAATATCATAAATAACAAATTATGATTTGTTTTGACTTTATCATAAGTTTTATAATTTATTTGATTTTTCTTAAACAAAAAATGTTGCTTTGCATTCTTCACAAAATACTCATTCTTTATAGGATTCATTATCTACCAAGCAAGGTTTAAATGTATATTCACATATGTACTTAATTTGTTTGACTTTGAATATGATGTGTTCAAACAACACTAAGAAACACCGATTATCATACATTGTGTATGTTCTCTTTTTATATGATTTGAAGACTCTATAAATTTGTTTGAGCCGATAATTTGATTTTTATATCAATAAAATTACTAATGAGATGAGATGAACAATATGTGAAATTAGAGAAAGAGAAAAAAAAAAACAGAAATGAAGCAGGAGACAAAATAGCGTCATGAGTTTTTTTTTCTAATAATAAAAAATTTAAGATATATTATAAAGATATTGTGTAGATACTCTAAAGTTTATTTTTAAACATTTTTTTTTGTAAAACCGTTACTTTAAATATACAATAAATTAGAAATTGAGAAATATTAAAATTGAACAATTTGGTAAATTTGGATATACATAAGTGTATTTTTCCAAAAACTTAAATAATAGTGTAATTTTTAAATTTTAATCTTATTTGAGTGTATTTCTCCAAATTTTCCCTAAATAAAACCATTTAAATAAATAACTTTTTATTTTTAATCTCATATATATCCTTCCTATTGGTAACTAATACTAAATGTACTAGTTTATCTTATGATTTGTTAAATCTCATTATCAGTATTAGAAAGTCTTCCATTTGATTTTTATTTCTATGTTATGTGGATTGTTTTCTATTTAGATGCTAGGATACATGTATTAAGATTTTTTTTTGGGGGGGGGGGGGGGGGGTCTACATTCCAATTTACACCTGGTAAATATTATAAATACAAAGTACTGTATATGTTCAAAAAAAGAAAAAAAATCTGCTGACAAAAAAAAAAAAGAAAAAAAATCTAGAATATTTGTAAACATGTCATAGTGTGCTGTAAAAATCATAATATATAAAATGCCAACGAACGTATGAATGCATTACGTACCCAACATTTAACATCTCACCACCAAAATGACCGGAGAAATGCCGCCACCGGAAACAGAAGGCAACGGTTCAAAACAGCACATAATGGTGTTTCCATATCCAGCACAAGGCCACTTGCTTCCTCTTCTTGACTTAACCCATCAACTCTGTCTTCGTGCAGACATCACTGTGTCAATCATAGTTACTCCTAAAAACCTTCCTTACATCTCCCCTCTTCTCACCGCTCATCCATCCTCCATCTCCGCCGTCACTTTTCCTTTCCCTCAGAGTCCTTCACTCCCTCCTGGCGTTGAAAACGTCAAAGACATCGGTCCTTCGGGAAACCCTCTCATTATGGCTTCTATTCGTCAGCTTCGTGAGCCTATCATCAACTGGTTAAGTTCTCATCCAAATCCTCCGGTGGCTATCATCTCTGACTTCTTTCTTGGATGGACCAACGATCTTGGTATCCCTCGCTTTGCTTTCTTTAGCTCCGGAGCTTTCTTAGCTTCGATTCTCCATTTTTTCTCCGACAAGCTTCATCTCTATGAGTCAACTGAGCCGGTCTGTTTCTCGGATCTTCCTCGTTCTCCTGTTTTCAAGATAGAACATATCCCGTCTTTAATCCCGGAATCTCCCTCATTGCAAGATCTCGAAAGTCAGAGAGACACCATGATGAATTTCTCGAGCTATGGTTGTGTTTTCAATTCTTGTGAAGTTCTGGAAGAGGAGTACATGGAGTACGTGAAGCTGAAAACGGGTCATAATCGGGTTTATGGTGTTGGTCCGCTTTCTTCAATCGGGTTAGGTAAGGGAAATTCTGATTCCAGTGTCGACGTGGAGGCTTTAATGAGCTGGCTCGATGGATGTTTACACGGATCAGTGCTTTACATCTGCTTCGGAAGTCAAAAAGTGTTGAATAAAGACCAGTGTGATGCGCTGGCTCTTGGTCTTGAGAAGAGCATGACCAGGTTTATTTGGGTGGCTAAGACAGACCCGATACCAGATGGGTTTGAGGATCGGGTCGCGGGTCGAGGAATAGTTGTTAGAGGCTGGGCTCCTCAGGTGGCTGTGTTGAGTCATGTGGCGGTTGGTGGGTTTTTGAGCCATTGTGGATGGAACTCGGTGATGGAAGCAGTGGCAAGCGGAACCATGATCTTAGCTTGGCCTATGGGGGCAGATCAATATGTGGATGCAAGGTTGCTGGTGGAGCATAAGGGTGTGGCTGTTATGGTTTGTGAAGGAGGGGACACTGTGCCAAACCCGTATGAGTTAGGTAGGGCTCTAGCTGAAACAATGGGTGAATGCGGACGCAGTGTGCGTGATCGGGCTAACAAGATGGGACACAGGGCACTAGCTGCGACCGAACCAGGAGGAAGCTCTGATGCAGATCTTGAAAGACTTGTAATAGAATTAAGCTGTCTTTAAGGATATAATAATATATGATGAAAAAAAGCCTTTCAATAGGTCTATTCAAATAAAAATGTTGTTCATCGTTCACAACGTATTGACTATGACTGAATGAACTAAGCAGTGGTAGTTTTGGTGGTAAGAAAAAAAGGTTTGGGGCAAAGCGTAAACCTGCCAGTCGTAGATTTGAATTCTGTCAGGAACCTAGTTGATTTTTTTGGCCAGAGAGCTTTTCTCTCTCTCTACATCTCTCTCATGTCCGATCTAACACATTTTTTTTATATTTTTTTTAAGTATGCAATTTGGACTTTCTCAAGTTTCTTTGTGTTTCGTATAAGATGGACATTGGTTCTTTTGTTTTGTATATAGACTGTACAACTATGTGATAAAATTCATTACATTAGTTTGATATATACAAATAAAGGTAACAATAGTTAACTGAGAGTTAAGTAGTGCTAATGTTATCTAGTGGGATTAGAACTTGATGAAGCTAACAAGAGTTGTTAAAGGGCATCAATGGTCTTACGTGTGTAAAACTAGGTGAAAATGTCTCAATGATCCTAAGTGCTTTATTATGTAACATAAACTAGAGGAAGTGCCTAAATGTGTAATTATTTCTTAGCAAATTTCTAAATCAGTGTTTATGTTATAGGAATTTCAGTGTTGACAGCCAAAAAAGAAACTGAGCTGTGGATTTCAAAAATACAAAGGATATTGATAAATTTGGTGGTTGTACAAATAGTTTTGGATGTCCACAACAACCAAAGAACTAACCAATTGCAACATGTATTCGGGAATACATAGTGCATGGAAACGTAATGATATCAGATTTGTCTAGAAGAATTAGCTAAAAAAATTCAGCATATTGAGATTCCATTCAGGGCCAGCTGAAATGTTTTAGGGTCCCTGGGGCAAAACAAAAAAAGTGATCCTTAACAAATGAAATTGTAAAAGAACCTCTTTGTAATTGAATAAATAAATATTTTTTTTCTTCCTCTTTTGACATCCAGAATCAGTGTCCAGACATGTTTCAAGCAAGCTAAAAGTTAAGTAAGAAAATTACACCTAGATTTAGGAATCAAAACTGAATTGCTGAAGCTGAAAGTGAAAGGGATACGTGAAACAATAAAACAAACTCTTGGATTTTAGAAACAGAAAAAGTATTCACATTACAATTAATTACTATTTAATTAGTTAATTATAATTTGTGATTTTTTAAAGATTATCATAAGTTCATAACTAAGATTTTGTTTCCATAAAGTTAGATTTGTAGATATTTTATTAATTTATTTCATTTTACTAAAAATATTATATCTATAGTTTACCAAAAAAACATACCACTGTTGTAAACTAACGAGAAAATAAAAGAATTAGTGTGTATATTACTCGTAACATAAGATTCCTTATATAGGGAATTACATGAGAGATAAATAAAAAAAACAAAGTCAATACAAATATGAAAAATGCTAAGTCTAAACCGTCATATAGACTACACGGATTGGGCCTAGATAATATGGTTATGGCACATCCACTAATTGGTTCATAACTCTCTCCTTTGGATGTCATAACCATATAGAGTTTGTACTACGCTTTGGATGTTGCCTCAATAAAACATTTTCAGGAAAAACCGAATGGGACAAAATCCGGGTAAAACCAGTGGGACAACACGTATTACTCCCCCTGATTTGAGCATCACTGAAAGTCTTTCAATCTTGAGTCTTTCAGCTTGAATGAATTTGAACTACTTGTACTTCTCTCTAACTCGTGGGCGATGAATACTTGGACGGGATGTGCTTCTTTGTTGACCACCTTACTTGGATGGACCTCGACCACAAGCGCTTACGGATTGTCTCATGGTCCATGCGGATGTGATTGATCATCCTACCGACCATCACACACTCTTGACCTAAAAACACACACACACACACGATGATGTTGCTGTGAATGCATGTACCACCATGTACAAAACATAACCTGTCTGAAAACAAATCAACAATAAAACCAAATAACCCCTCTTTAAGCTGGTTAGTATAAAATACACACAGGAAAATCAAATTTCTTTTATAAGGATACATGGACTGATTTGAATTGTTCTTATAAATTTCTTTCACTAAGTATCTATCATACTATATGCATCTGCTTTGTTTCAGTCCACAAACAGTTCAGATTTATACAATGTTGTTTCTTGAGAATTTTTTTTTTCATCTTTGAGCTCAATACCTTTTGGTACCTTTATCATTATTATCCAATGGACCATATACAACTTACTACATCCTTTATATGTTAGTCTAATTTCTTTCTTATGACTAGACCTTATCAATTCGAAATATGTAGTAGCATCCACCGCATAGGAGTATATCTCCTCATAGTGTATTCCTGGTCTCTGTGAGAATCCTTGTGTAACAAGTCATGCTTGAATGCTGTAAGTAGAAACATGAACAACTTTAGACCACGTGATCATGTTCTACATCTCACGATTTTCTTTCCCTCATGATATCACTCAAATGTTTAACCCTAAGTAGTGAATTACTCTATCAAATAAGAGGTTCAATTGTAGTACTTAGGGATCGAATCCACAGAGAGCAGGAGCACACAATAGACTATAGAAATCAAAGTTAAGCTAGGTAAACAGTTTATAAAACAGTAAATAAAAGCAATATGAACAAGGAAGTTGTTCGATTGGTTGAGTTTGTAAGCAATAATGATAAATAGCTAGACCTAGGGATTTATCAANTTCAAAACTACAATTCAAGATGCTAATAGCTTATAGATTCATTCTAGAACTCGATTTTAAAGTAAGTAATCCATCTATCAATGCAATTACTAATCGGATGTCTAAGTCCTTGTTCCAGCTTTCGCATGCGAACAAGACTTGAGTATCGATCGATGCTATGGCCTGAGCGTCGATCGATATTACCTCAGACAAGCATTAACGACCTAATCGATTATCTTCAACTAGATTCCTAGACCAATTCTCATGTGCCCCTAAGTATCTAATCCAGAAGGATTCGGGTTCCGTTAATTGACTGCACTTTAGTGCATCTCAATTGTCCTATGATTCTAGGTTCAAGCAATCAGTCACACTTTCATGATATTCTAATTATTCCATATCCTAGTATTACAAATCACCTTGGTGTAGAGATCTATAGATATTCTAGCAATCCTAATTAATATTCAGTTTAACATTAAGCTCATGAAATCCTAGCTAAACCTAACAAGATGAACTAATCAGACATGATACAAGAAACACAAATCATAGTCTGAATATTAATAGAATAAGAAATTAAAGATAATTCCAATGGAGTTCCAATCAATCTCTGAAAGAGATTTGATCTTCTCTCCAACTCTCTAACTAAGAACAATGAAAACAAAAGATGAAAAAGAGAGCATAGCCGTCAACAATGGCTTGCAAATAACATAAATAAGGTTTCCGGTCGTCAAGGGTATTTTGGTAACTTTGTGGTATCTTCTGGGCTTCAGTCGGTCATGAAATATACTCAACCCACATTCTGGCATCCATATCGATCGATATGAAGGCTTTCCCATCGATCGATATACATTCCTCTTCTCGACAGCCTTCTCTCGCGAGGCAGACTGACCACTCTTCCGTAAAACGGGCATAACTTCTGATCTAACCGTTGGATTGACCCCAAACCAGTGGAATTGGAAAGCTAAATCAAAGCTATATCTTGTGTCCCAAGATAAGTTAAATCGCACCATGGGAAGGTCTCCATCCAAATCTAAACATCTGACGCGTTTGTGCAGTTCTGCACTTAAAAGGCTCCAAAGGACACCAAAATCACCATATTTCTCCAGAATGTACCTGTACCTATAAATACTCTAAATATACCATGGCTAAAAGTGGGTAAAATCCATGGTCGATCAACTCCCCAAGACTTACCCTTTTGCTTGTCCTCAAGCAAAACATACAGGCTGTCTCTCTAAAAGAGGTTTGAAAACAGCAGGGACTCAAAAGATTTTAAAAACTCAGTCACCATCTCTTTAGTAGTGCAAACCAAATCATAAACATCCTAACATTAGAAGCACATTATACAATATCCTAGTGTAGCAACCAAATTCACCTAGTCAACAACTCAACAGATCCTGTCCGACAATCCCCTCTACTAACCTCATTTCTTGCATAAAATAAAAGTGCAGGCTTTAACTTGGGAGTATTGATCAAGGAATACATGGATTCAACTCAAGAAAGTTTCTGAGTAAATAGGCAGTCTTATTCTGGTTTCTTTTCTCCATATATCTCCCTTCTCTGAATCCCAAATTTTTCTTTTTCTTTTATATCAATCCCAATGAACAACAAATGTTCATCTTATTGATCTTTCTAATTCTTGTAGTCTTTTCTGACAAAGTGTAGGCGAATAGTGGGCTCATGGATAATTTACCCTTTCCTCGCTTTCACAATGTGTGATCATTCCTTTGAATTAGAATAGTGGGGTCATGGGTAATGTAGCTCTCCCTCTGCCTCTCAGGAAATCATCTCAATCTTTTTATTTTTCTCTTTTTGGGATGCCAAAGGAAGGAGAGAAGGAAACCAAAAATTTACAGACTTATACCTTCAAGACTTGCAGGAGGATTCCGATCCCTTGTATACCAAGCCCCAAGACAAGCAAATCAAGTCAATATTAGGTTGGAGGTCAGCTTTGGTTCCTTCAAACATTCTCAGCAAGTGCAAACATAGTTGACAGATTGATCCACTTTAGTATCTCTAGTACTTCTACAATCAGTAAATCTAAGACTGGTCTAAAGAGTGGTTAGATGACAAGTAATAAATCAATATAGATCATCATCCCCTTCTTGACTCAATAAAAACTTTTTGAAAATATTTTAAATAAGACTCATAAAGTAGATAAACGTTAGTAACACAGTCGGTGGTAAGGTGAAAATCATAAAGCAGAAGTACGAAATTTAACAAGTAAGACGATATCCCTGACCGGATTAAGTATCGATCGATGAAAAAGAGTTACCATCGTTCGATGTAAGTGATGTACTGTCGATCGATA